ACTCTCGTTCACTGTCCGTTCAAACCGTGCCAGTGTCGTTTCAGGAACGCTCCCTGTATCCGTCCAGCTTCGCAGCTCCACTCTTTTCCCGTTGTTGTAGATGGACGCCTTCCGGTTGACCCAGTCGATCTCGGGGTTGAATTGCTTCAGGAAATCTCGCCCCAAGATGAAATCTAGGCCTTTGATATTCGTGATCGGCAACGTCGGCTTCCACCTCAGCGCCCCTATATGCAGCTGCAGTGATGCTTTGCCGTGGATGGGAAGTTTCGTACCGTCCACCATCGTTGCCGTGAACTTGGTCTCCTCCGAAGATTCTCCAATTTTCTCCAACGTCCCGCGGTCGCACACCGAGTGAGACGCACCGCTGTCCACCAGTGCCCGGAGGCGTCGCCCATTGCAGATCACCTCGATTAGTAGTGGTTGTTGCTGCTCCGAGTAACCGTAGATGGTCTCGCTTATTGGATCGTAGGGTACGTCGAATAGATCATCCCTCGGTCCTGCGTTCGAAGCTGCTGACTCCATATCAGTCTTCAACTGAGTAGGGTTAGAAGGATTTATCCGTGGCCGATTCAGCTTCGTCTTGGCCTGGAACCTTCCCCTAAGCCTTTGCAGCTGTGTAGGCTTCACCTGTGGGCAATTGGGAGCCTTAACACTGTGCTGCGGAGAGAGAATATTTACTCCTTCGAGCGCACGACCCTTTTCAACGCTCTGGAGTGGCTTGCCCAACTTCTCAGGTACCTGAATAATGTCTGAAGGCTTTTTCTTGGCCTCGAAATCTCCCCTGAATTTTTGAAAGGCTTGAAAACCTTTAAATTCGCGCCATTGTGTCCTCCTTTTTTCGCTCGCTCCGAAGTCGCCATGTCTTTTGACTTCACAAAACCACACTGTTGTTGCCCTGCAGCTCCGCTAGTACCTTCTTCAATTTCCAACACGCCAAGAATCGATGTCCTGCTGCGCCGCAAATTTCGCACTTCTCATATTTTGTCGGCAACTGTGTCTCGTCGATCTTGTCGATATCCATCGGGTCGGCGGTCATGGGTGGTGCCGATCGCTTCGTGCCTAATGATCTGTTCGGCACGCGTTGTCGTGTTTCGGGTTGACCTTGAGTCAACGCATCGAATCTCTCTGCTGCACACACAAAGTCACGGTAGTTGTTGTAGTTCACGGCAATCACCTGTCGGTGGACTTCCATCTTTAGCCCCTCAGTATACGCTTGGATTTTTTCCCCTTCGGCCAGGTCGGTAATTCTGTTGAAGAGGCTCTCCATCTACTGCGTGTACTGTGTTACACTGCCGAACTGATTATGCCGATGAATCTGTCAAACATATATGCTATAGTCTGTGTAGGCTGTAGTGGGGCAGTTCACATGGGGTACAACACTTTAGGTTTTCCTACTTGTACTCCTCATGCTGCTCAATGCAATCATTCCTCGTTCTATGTTTCACATGGTTTCAGAGCAGGTTCCCTAGTGGGAACGTTTTTTTTTAAGGGCCCACCACGATCGTTTTTTCCTGCCCTGCCCGAAAAGCGCCTCGCGCCTGCCTCACCTGCGCCGTCGCGCGCCCTGCCCTACTGCCGCCCGTAGCGGCCCTGCCCTCTCGGCCCGTGGCGGCCCTGCCCTTTCGGCCCGTCGCGGCCCTGCCCTAACGGCCCGTCGCGGCCCTGACCTCGCTACCCGTCGCGGCCCTGACCTCGCCGCCCATCGCGGCCCTGCCCTGCCGCCACCCGTCGCGGCCCTGCCCTCAGCCACTCGTCGCGGCCCTGCTCTACCGCCGCCCCATCGCGGCCCTGCCCTGCTGCCGCCCCGTCGTGGCCCTGCTCTGCCACCGCCTCGTCGCGGCCCTGCCCTACAGCCGCCCCGTTGCGGCCCTGACCTAACCGTCCATCGCGGCCCTGCCCTGCACCCGCCCCTGGTAAGCGCCCATGCTGCCCGTCGCATCGCGCGCCCCTGCTGCCCGCCGCGCCGTGCGCCCCTGCAGCCCGTCCCGTCGCGCGCCCCTGCAGCCCATCGCGTCGCGCGCCCCTGCAGCCCGTCGCGTCGCCCGTCGGCCCTGCCCGTGCCCGTCGCGTCGCCAGAGCGGGCTGCCCCAGCCCGCCGCGACGCCCGTCCGCCTTGCCTGCCTGCGCGCCGCCCCTGCCTGCCCCGTGACGCGCTGCCCCGTGCAAGCCGCCCGCGCGCAGACCCTTGCAGCCCGCACGCCGCCCGTCTGCAGCCCGCGAGCCTCCCCTGCAGCCCGCGAACCGCCCCTGCAGCCAGCGCGCCTGCCTCTTGCAGCCAGCGCACTGCCCCTGCAGCCCGCGAGCCACCCCTGCAGCCCGTGAGCCGCCTCTGCAGCGCCCAGTGCGCCCTGCCAAACCCTAAAATAAATCAATAATAATAATTAAAAAAAAAAAAGCCCTAGGTGCTGCTGCCCTAGGTGCTACTGCTGCTACTAGCGGTGGCCAGATGCAGCTCCAGCGACGTCCGCGCGCGTCCCTCACGCCCCAGCAGCTTCGTGAGTGGTACGCTAGTTGGGGTTGTGGCGGCGGTCGTAGTGGCAGTCACCCTGGAGCTTGTCAGCCGGGAGCTACTGGCAGTGGCCAGATGCAGCTGCAGCGGCGTCCGTGCGAGACCCTTACGCCCCAGCAGCTTCGTGAGTGGTACGCTCAGAGTAGAGGGTCTCGGAGTACTGTTCGTTGCCCATACGTCATTCGCATAGGTGATCGGGCTGGTCAGACTTGCGGGACGATTGGTCACACACAGTCCTGCTTCTTCGCCTGTCTGAGCGACGCCTGGCGTACCGAGTTTGGCGACGAGGCTGAGCTCCCCAGCTGGGTGGAGCTGCTTAGGCAGAGGGTGGATATCTTTGCTCTTGACTATGATGCTACCCTCACTGCCATGTATGCATTGCTTATTAGTGCTGAGGGTGCCTATTACTTGTGTGTACCGCCTGACCCAGGTATCGAGTCTGCTGCTCCAGGTGCTTGTGAGGCTGCTGCTCTAGGTGCTAGTGAGTCTACTGCTCTAGGTGCTGGTGAGGCTGCTGCTCTAGGTGCTAGTGAGTCTACTGCTCCACGTGCTGGTGAGTCTGCTCTCTCTGGTACTGCGCCTGCTGAGGCCTTGTACACCTTCACACTTGACTCAGGTGCTTCCCGCTCCTTCTTCCGCGACAGCACCACACTCACGCCGCTCAGTCGGCCGGTTGCAGTCTCCCTGGCGGACCCCTCTGGGGGCCCAGTCCTTGCGCACTCCTCCACGGTTCTGCCGTGTCCGGTGGTTCCGTCTAGCTCACTGTCAGGTCTTCACCTCCCCTCATTCTCTACGAACTTGGTGAGTGGAGCTGACCTCCAGGATGTGTGGGTTGACCAGTTCACTCCTGGAGGTCAGCGTGTGACCCACTGTACGTGCTCCCGGACTGGTCGGCACCTGGCCACGTTCACACGAGCGCCTGGCTCGAGTCTGTACACACTGACTACTGTGTCCCCTCAGGTAGCTGCGTCTGCGTCTGCGTCAGGTCAGCTAGCAGCCCCCTGCTCGTGTCGTGCTCTGTCGCACCAGACCGTCCTTTGGCACCACCGTCTTGGTCACCCCTCGGTGCAGTGCCTTCGGGGCATGCACCGACATGTCCTTGTCTCTGGTCTTCCCAGGGTTCTCCCTCCCCTCCCACCCTCGCCTGCTCCTCCCTGTCTTCCTGTGTCGAGGGGCGGCAGCGCGCCGCTCCTCACTCCTCGTTTCCCCCGGCGACTGCTCCCCTGCAGACTCTCCACATGGACGTGTGGGGCCCAGCCCGCATCTCTGGACAGGACCGCGAGCGGTACTTTTTGCTGGTCGTTGATGACTACACGCGTTACACCATGGTCTTCCCCTTGCGCACCAAGGGTGAAGTCCCTGATGTTTTGATCCCTTGGATCCGCGTTGCCCGTCTCCAGCTCCGCGAGCGGTTCGAGACGGACTTTCCCGTCCTGCGTCTGTACTCTGACAGAGGTGGGGAGTTTGCCTATGAATTTCTGCGGGACTTTTGTCGTGGGGAGGGCATTCACCAGACATTCACGCTCCCGGCCTCACCGCAGCAGAATGGGATTGCTGAGCGCCACATTGGCTTAGTCATGGAGGTAGCTCGTACCTCCATGGTCCATGTGGCTGCCCCCCATTTTCTGTGGACGTTTTCGGTCCGATACGCTGCGCATCAGCTCAACCTCTGGCCCCGTGTCTCCTTGCCGGAGACCTCGCCCACAGTGCGTTGGACGGGGAAGATTGGCGATGCGTCAGTGTTTCGGGTCTGGGGTTTTCGTGCCTTTGTCCGCGATACCACCACAGACAAGCTCTCCGCCCGTGCTATTCCCTGCGTCTTCCTTGGCTTTTACCACCCCACCTCGCGCCGTGTCCTGCCCTCTCTTAGGACGTCACGTTTGACGAGTCGGTTCCCTTTTACCGTCTCTTTCCCTACCGCACTGCCCCTCTCCCCCCCCTGCCGCTCTTCCTTGCACTAGGTCCTCCTCCGGTAGACCCCCTCCCCCCTCAGGGTCCTGCTCCCTCAGGTGTGTCTCAGGTAGACGCTGTCTAGCCTGTCGAGGTAGCGATTGACTCTGGTGCTGCTACTAGGGGTGGTGCTGCTGGGGGTGGTGCTGCTGGGGGTGCTGGGCCTGAGCGTGCGGAGCCTGGGGGTGCTGAGCCTGAGCGTGTGGAGTCTGGGGGTGGTGAGCCTGGGGTTGCTGAGTCTGAGGGTGCGGAGCCTGGGGTGCTGAGCCTGAGGGTACTGAGCTTGCGGTTGCTGAGACTGGGGGTGCTGAGTCTGCTGGTGGTACTGCTGGTGCTGGAGCTGGAAGCCCTGGAGCTGCTAGCCCTGGAGGTGCTGGAGGTACTGCTGGTTCTGGAGGTACTGGAGGTGCTGGAGTTACTAGTCCTGGAGGTCCCACTGGAGCCTCGCCCCAGCGGTCTAGCCGGCGGGAGCCGCTCTCACTACAGTAGTTGCGCCAGTGGTACGCTCGGCGCTGTAGCCTACAGAGTGGCGCTGCTGGAGCTGGAGGCCCTGGAGCTGCTAGTGCTGGAGGTGCTGGAGGTAGTGGAGTTTCTGGAGCTGCTGGAGCTGGTGGTGCTGCTGCTGCTCGAGGTGCTGGAGCTGCTAGTCCCGGAGGTGCTCGCACTGGTGGTACTGGAGCTGATGGAGCTAGTGGTGCTGCTGCTACTGCTGCTGGAGGTGCTGGAGCCGCTGGTCTCGGAGGTGCTCGTACTGGAGGTACTGGAGCTGCTTGAGCTGGAGGTACTACTGGAGCTGGAGCTGCTGGAGGTCCTGCTGGTGTTGGAGCTGCCGGAGGTGCTCGTACTGGAGGTACTGGAGCTGCTGGAGCTGGTGGTACTGCAGGGGTTGGAGCTGGAGGCGCTGGAGTTGGCGCTGCTGGAGGTGCTGCTGGAGCTGGAGCTACTGGAGGTGCTGCAGCTGCTGTTGGAGCTGGAGCTGCTGGAGGTGCTGGAGCTGGTGGTACTGCGGGAGTTGGAGCTGGAGACCCTGGAGCTGGGGGTACTGGTGCTGTCTCTATTGTTTCTGGAGGTGCTGCGCGGCCGCGGCCGTACTACGTTCCGCTCCTTCAGCAGATTCTTGGTCTCCCGCCTTCTACTGGTCCTACTCCTCCCTTACTGAGTCCACCGCCTGACCAGTCGCAGTCGCAGTTACAGCCAGCCTCTCCACTGCCTGGTCCTTCTCCTTACTCTGGGCCGACTAGAATTCTTATGGAGCGTCGTGAGCCTGAGTCTCATCCTGCGTCGCCTGAGTCTCGTCCTGCGTCGCCTGAGTCTCGTCCTGCGTCGCCTGAGTCTCGTCCTGCGTTGCCTGTTCGAGCTGTCCGCACTGGTCTTCGTGTTCCACGTCAGCGTCCTCCTGCTGTCCCCGGCACACCCCTGATGGCACTTCGTCCTTCCACTGCTCCACAGCGTGTCCCTCTGCCTTCTCCTCCTGCGTCCTCTCTTCCTGACGGTCTGGACCGGGAGTCAAACTCCCTTCATGCCGCTAGTCCTACTGTCACGCGTCTCCTGGCCACTGTTGTCACTGAACCTTCGTTCGAGTCCACTGCTGCGTCGGCTCTAGTTGCTGAGCTTGTTGACTTTGCTGCCGCCTGTCGTCTAGACTACGCCGCTAGTCTTGTTGCTGAGTCTGAGTCTGTCTGTCCTCCGTCCGTCGGAGGTGAGTGTGCTCTTGGCACGGACGTCCTTGAGGACAGACAGGAGGAGTTTGAGTTCTTTGCCACTGCTGTACCCTCGTGTCCACGCTGATTGCCCCTGAGGGAGACCCGGATGCACCAGACATCCCGACCCTGCGCTCTTACGCAGAGGCGATAGAGGGTCCCTACTCCTCTCATTGGCAGACAGCCATGGACGCAGAGATGGCATCCTGGAAGTCTACAGGCACCTACGTCGACGAGGTTCACCCGCCTGGGGCGAACATCGTCAGTGGCATGTGGATTTTCAGGGTGAAGCAGCCGCCGGGTTCTCCGCCTTTCTTCAAGGCGCGTTACGTTGCACGAGGCTTCAGTCAGCGAGAGGGAGTTCACTTCTTCCAGACCTTCTCCCCCACCCCGAAGATGACCACTCTTCGGGTTCTGCTGCACGTAGCTGCTCAGCGTGACTACGAGCTGCACTCTCTTGAATTCAGCACTGCTTTCCTACAGGGCAGCTTGCACGAGGAGATCTGGCTGCACCGCTCACCTGGTTTCACTGGGTCGTTTCCTGCTGGTACCCAATGGAGTCTCCGGCGGCCAGTCTACGGTCTCCGCCAGGCACCCCGTGAGTGGCACGACACACTGAGACAACAGAGGCCAGGAGACGCGTGACAGTAGGACTGGCAGCACGAAGGGAGTCAGACTCCGGGTCAGCAAGGGCAGGAAGAGAGGACGCAGGAGGAGCCAGCAGAGGGACACGCTGCGGAGCAGTGGAAGGACGCAGAGCCATCTGGTGTGTGCCAGGAACAGGAGGAGGACGCTGACGCGAACCGCGACGACTGGTGTGAGCAGCACGAACAGGCGACGTAGGACGAGACGCAGGCGACACAGGACGAGACTCAAGCTCACGACGCTCCGCAAGACCTCCGGTCGGACCAGTGTAAGGAGAAGGAGCAGGCAGTGGGGAGGCAGGCTGTAACTGTGACTCGGACTGGACAGGCTGTGGACACATTACGGAAGAAGCAGGACCAGTAGAAGGCGGGAGACCAAGAACCTGCTCAAGGTGCGGAACGAAGTACGGCCGCGGCCGCGCAGCGCCTCCAGAACCAGCAGAGACAGCACCCGCACCCCCAGCGTCAGCTCCAACTCCTGCAGCACCAACAGCTCCAGCAGCACCTCCAGCAGCTCCAGTAGCGCCAACTCCAGCACCCCCAGGAGCACCGGCTCCAGCAGCACCTCCAGCTCCAGCACCTCCAGCTCCGGCAAGACCACCAAAAGCCCCAGCAGCCTCAGCAGCGCCAGGGCCAGCACCTCCAGCAGCACCGGGTCCAGTAGTACCTACAGCTCCAGCACCTCCAGCAGCTCCAGTCCCAGCAGCACCACCAGGCCCAGCAGCTCCAGTACCTCCAGTACGAGCACCTCCGGGACCAGTGGCTCCAGAACCCCCCAGTAGCTCTAGCAGCAGCAGGACCTCCAGCGCCCGTAGCACCACCAGCTCCAGCAGCATGGCTCCAGCGGCCAGCAAACCACTCGCGCAGCTGCTGTGGAGAGAGGGTCACCCGCCGGGAAGAAGAACTCGAAGGACCTCTAGGCGCAGCACCTCCAGAATCCGCACCCCCCGACTCAGCACCCCCAAGCTCAGCACCCTAGAACTCAGCACCCCCAGGCTCAGCACCCCCAAACTCAGCACCCCCAGACTCCGCACGCTCAGGCTCAGCACCCCCAGGCCCGGCACCCGCAGGCTCAGCACCCCTAGCAGCACGAGAGTCAACAGCTACCTCGACAGGCTCGACTGCGTCTACCTGGGACACACCTGAGGGGGCAGGACCCTGAGGGGGGAGGGGGTCTACCGGGGGGGGACCTGGGGCAAGGAAGAGCGACGGAGGGGGGAGGGGGGCAGCGCGGTAGGGGAAGAGACGGTAGTAAGGAACCGACTCGTCAAACGTGACGTCCTGAGAGGATAGAACACGGCGCGAGGTGGGGTGGTAAAACTGCCAACCAGGCGCGTCAGGTGGGAAGCCAAGGAAGACGCAGGGAACAGCACGGGAGGACAGCTTGTCCGCAGACAAGTCGCGGACGAAAGCTCGAGATCCCCAGACATGGAACGTAGACGCATCGCCAACCTTCCCTGTCCACCGCAGAGTAGGGGAGGTCTCCGGCATGGAGACCCGGGGCTGAAGGTTGATCTGATGCGCCGCGTACTGAACTGCGAACGGCCACAGAAAATGGGGAGCAGCCCCATGGATCATGGACGTACGAGCGACGTCCATGACCATGCCAATGCGGCGCTCGGCAATCCCATTTTGCTGTGGAGAGGCCGGAAGCATGAACGTCTGGCGGATGCCCTCCGCACGACAGAAGGCTCGCAGAAGGTCGGAGGAAAACTCTCCACCTCTGTCGGAGTGCAGACGCAGAACAGGAAAGTCCAAGCCGAAACTCTCTCTGAGCTGGAGACGGGCAGCGCGGATCCAGTCGATCAACACCTCACTGACCTCACCCTTGCGGCGCAAGGGGAAGGCTGAGGTGTAACGCGAGTATTCGTCAACCACCAGCAGGAAGTAACGCTCGTGACCCTGTCCACGGACGCGGGCTGGGCCCCACACGTCCATGTGGAGAGTCTGCAGCGGAGCCTCTGTCGGAGGAAACTCGGAGGAGTGAGGAGCGGCGCGCTGCCGCCCCTCAACGCAGGGAACGCAGGTAGGGGCAGGCCCCGGAGGAAGGGGAGGGAGGGACCGGGGAAGACCAGAGACAAGGTAACGGGAGGCCATGCCTTGGAGACGAGGCAGGGAGGGGTGACCAAGGTGGTGGTGCCAGAGGAGAGTCTGGTGAGACAGGAGGCGACACGAGCAGGGGGCAGACTCAGGACCAGACCTGGACGCTGTAGCAAACACCTGACCCGACGCAGCTACCTGACCAGACGCAGTAACCGGAGGAGACTCGGTAGTCAGTGTGTACAGGCTCGACCCCGGCCGACGGGTAAACGTGGCCAAGTGTCAGCCCGTCCGAGCACACGTGCAGTGGGTCACTCGCTGACTCGCAGGAGTGAACTGGTCAACCCCTCCATCCTGTAGGTCAGCACCACTCACCAGGTTCGTAGAGAACGAGGGGAGGTAAAGATCGGACAGGGAGCCAGACGGGGCCGCCGGACACGGTAGGACAGTGGAGTAGTGGGCAAGGACAGGACCCCCAGAGGGGTCTGCCAGGGAGACTGCAACCGGCCGTCTGAGCGGCGTGAGTGTGGTGCAGTCGCGAAAGAAGGAGCGGGAGGCCCCTAAGTCAAGAGTGAAGGTGTGTAAGACCGCAGCAGGCGCAGCACCAGAGAGAGCAGACGCACAAGCACCTGGAGCAGTAGACTCACTAGCGCCTAGAGCAGCAACCTCACCGACACCTGGAGCAGGAGACGCTCGAGCACCTAAAGCAGCAGCCTCATCGGCACCTGGAGCAGGAGACGCACCAGCACCTAGAGCAGCAGCCTCACCAGTACCTAGAGCAGCAGACTGGATACCGGGGTCAGGCGGCACACACAGGTAACAGGCACCCTCAGCACTAGTAGGCAATGCATACATGGCAGTGAGGATAGCATCATAGTCAAGAGCATAGATATCTACCCTCTGCCTAAGCAGCTCCACCCAGTCGGGGAGCTCAGCTGCATCGCCAAACTCTGTACGCCAGGCGTCGCTCAGACGGGCGAAGCAGCGGGACTCTGTGTGACCAATCGTCCCGCAAGGCTGACCAGCCCGAGCACCAGTGCGAATGACGTACGGGCAGCGAGCAGTACTCCGAGACCCTCCACTCTGAGCGTACCACTCACGAAGCTGCGGGGGCGAAAGGACCGCGCGCGGATGACGCTGCAGCTGCACCTGGCCACTACAAGAAGCTCGCGGACTACTCACTCCAGGACGACTCCCACTACGGCCACCCCGACAACCCCAACTAGCGTACCACTCACGAAGCTGCTGGGGCGTGGGGGACTCACACGGACGTCGCTGGAGCTGCATCTGGCCACCGCCAGGAGCAGCAGTAGCAGTAGTAGCCGCAGTAGCAGCAGTAGCAGCAGTAGCAGCAGTAGCAGTAGTAGCCGCAGTAGCAGCAGTAGCAGCAGTAGTAGTTGTAGCAGCGCGGCCACCCCTACAACCCCAACTAGTGTACCACTCACGAAGCTGCTGGGGCGTGAGGGACTCACGCGGACGGCGCTGGAGCTGCATCTGGCCACGCTAGGAGCAGCAGTAGCAGTAGAAAGAGCAGTAGCAGCAGGAGCAGCAATAACAGCAGTACGGGCAGGGCAGTGCTCACCAGTGGTGAGAAGGGCAGGCGTACGACGGCGGCAACGGCGAGGCCGCTACCACTGCAGGGCGAGGGCTCCGCGGTAGCTGCTGAAGGGCGGGGCCGTGACCGCGGCAGGGAGCTCCGCGGCAGCTGCTGCAGGGCGGGGCCGGGCCGCGACGGCCGCTGCTGCAGGGCGGGGCAGAGCCGCAACGGCAGCTGCTGCAGGGCGGGGCAGGGCCGCGACGGCAGCTGCTGCAGGGCGGGGCAGGGCCGCGACGGCAGCTGCTGCAGGGCGGGGCAGGGCCGCGACGTCAGCTGCTGCAGGGCGGGGCAGGGGCGGCCGTCCGAAGGTCGGGCGCGGGGTAGGGCAGGGCGCCGCGGCGGGCAGGGGCGACATCGCGCGGGTCCCGCAGGGGCGTCGCGACGAGCGGGTGGCGACGCCCGGGTCCCGTTGGGGCGTCGCGACGCGCAGGAGCCGCGCCTCGCGGGTCCCGCAGGGGCGTCGCGACGAGGCGGGGGCGACGTGCGGGTCCCGCAGGTGCGTCACGACGAGGCAGGGGCGACACCCGGGTGGCGACGGGGCGGGGCCGCGACTGGCGACGGGGCGGGGCCGCTACGGGCAACGGGGCGGGGCCGCGAAGGGGCCGCAAAGGGGCCGCGAAGGGGGCCGCGAAGGGGCCGCTAAGGGGCCGCGAAGGGGCCGCTAAGGGGCCGCGAAGGGGCCGCTAAGGGGCCGCGAAGGGGCCGCGAAGGGGCCGCGTAGGGGCCGCAAAGGGGCCACGAAGGGGCCGCTAAGGGGCCGCTAAGGGGCCGCGAAGGGGCCGCGTAGGGGCCGCGAAGGGGCCGCAA